CTCCGTGCTGTCCAGCCCGTCTCCTTCTCCTGCCACTATCAGCGGGTCTCTTAGATTCCAAGGCACGAGGCCCGATAACCACAAAGGAAGCATCCTGACCCTCCTTGCTCAGTATTTGTGTTGCTTGTTTGATTTTTAAAAAATACTTTTTATTTTATTTCAGAGAGGAAGGGAGAGGGGGAGAGAGAGAGAGAAACATCAATGATGAGAGAGAATCATCGATCAGCTGCCTCCCGTGCCCCCTGCACTGGAGATCAAACCCGCAACCTGGGCAAGTGCTCTGATCAGGAATTGAACTGTGACCTCCTGGTTCATAGGTCAATGCTGAACCACTGAGCCACGTCAGCTGGGCTAATTTAAAAAAATTTTTTTAATTGATTTATAAAGAAAGAAAGGAAGGGAGAGGGACACACAGAGAGGAACATCAATGAGAGAGGAACATTGGTCTGCTGTCTCCTGCACACCCCCTACTGGGGATCGAGCCTGCAGCCCAAGGAGGAACCGAACCATCAACCTTTCAGCCACCCCCGCACCCTCCCCGCGCCCACTCCCCCAGGAGGGCTGCAGGGGGAGCTGCCCTTTGGGAGCAGACCAGCCCGGCCATGGACAGAGACCCAGGAGCAGGTCCCGCGCCAGCCCTGCAGGCAGTGGGTATTTTGAATGAAGGTGTAGAGTAGAAATGGAGCGAAGGAGTTGGGTGAGTCCTGAGCAAGGAGTCAGTGAGAGGAGGGTTGTCTGATGGGTGCTGACCAGAAAGGGGTGGCAGTGCCAGGGGAGGGGCAGGAGCCCCAGGTCAGCACTTCCTGTCCACCCCTTCCTCCCGCTGCTGCCTCCCATAGCTCCCTGGCCTGAGGGGAAACGCGGGGCCCTGTCCCCTCACGTGGGGACCCCAGGAACACGTCTGCCCCAGCTGGACAATGAGGTGGACAGACTCCAGTATGGACAGACAGACAAGCAGTCACCTCCGAGGGGTCTCGGCCCAGGGAAGGCCTCGAGGGGCGGCTGGTGTGTGTGAGGAGACAGGGCTGGGAAGGAGACTGGCGACTGGCAGATCAAATCAAGTTGTTCTCCGACTGTCCCCGGCGCGCAGGAGTCACCATGGTTACCGTGCCTCAGCTCTCCATTTCTGAGAGCGGTGGCGGCAACACATGAGCCAGAGACACAAAGGAGTGGGGAGGGCGCCAGCAGCACGGATGGAGTGGACAGGGCCCAGCAGACGGGGGAACAGGGCCCAGCAGACGGGGGACAGGGCCCAGCAGACGGGGGGACAGGGCCCCGCAGACGGGGGGGACAGGATCCAGCAGACGCCGACAGCTGGTCCCGTGCGGGCAGACTTTCTTCAGAGGCTGCGTGGGACTCGTAGACACACAGCTGCAAGACACTCGAGCTCCCTAGCGCCTGTCATCTGCCTACCCTGTCTGTCTGTCCATCCATCTATCGACCCATCATCTATCTACCTATCTATTCATCTATCCATCTATCATCTGCCTGTCTATTTACTATCTATCATCTATCTTTCTATATCTATCATCTACCTGTCTACTTATCTACCTATCATCTATCTATCCATTTATTTATCCATCTATCTATCCATCTATCATCTATTTACCACCTATCTACCTATTTATCCATCTATCTACTCATCTATTATCTACCTATCCATCTATCTATCTATCTGTCCATCTATCGTCTATCTATCTACTATTTGAGAAAACGCTGCCTGCTCAGTGTCACCGACACAGAGCCTCCCGCGGCCGCTGGCGCCTTTGATCTGCGGACAGTTCCTCCCAGAGGCGACCTACAGACCTACAGAGCCTACAGACCTACAGAGCCTACAGAACCTACAGAGCCTACAGACCTACAGAGCCTACAGAGCCTACAGACCTACAGACCTACAGAGCCTACAGAGCCTACAGACCTACAGACCTACAGAGCCTACAGACCTACAGACCTACAGAGCCTACAGAGCCTACAGACCTACAGACCTACAGAGCCTACAGAACTGGGGCGGCAGTGGGTGGGGAAGGGTCAAACCCTCCAGGAGCGAGTGGGAGGAAGGCAGCTGAGGCAGCGGACAGGGGTCTGGAAGGAGGGTGTGGGCGCCCCTCTGGGCTGGCCAATGCCACTTGTGTGTGTGTGTGTGTGTGTGTGTATGTGTGTGTGTGTGTGTGAGATGGTGGGGCAGGCGGGCTCAGGGCAGTGCAGAGGGGGTGTGCCCCCAGTGCCCTCTGCACTCTGACCCTACATGTCCGTGGCAGCACCTGGGACCCATCAGCTCTCCAAATAGCTCCTGCCCCCCCTTCTGGGAGCCAGCCCTGGCCCCCACCCCGTCCATCAGCCCCCGCAGGACCCAGCCCCCGCCTGTGCGGCTCTGCTCCCAGCCGTCTGGAGAGTGAGGGGACATGTGCCTGCGGGAGCAGAGGCTT